TCGCACAAAGGGCATAGAAACGGTGACTCCGATGCCGTTCAAGATGCCACTAAGGCCATGGAGGTCGATGAGACTCAACTGGACCCGGCCACTCAGGAGGCCGGCACCCAGGACTCCGGCAAGCGAGCCGCTGAAGCCGCCGTTGAGAAGGCAAATGGGCGTGCGGCTCCTAAAGCTAAGGTCACCAGTGCTGCTCCGACTCAGTTTGGGCCACCGGTTCCGTTTGAGCCGTCTGATGGAAGCCTTGGCCCCCAAGGAGTTAAGCTTTGGGACCTTCAGGGCAACGGGAACTGCGGGTTTCGCGCGTTGGGAGCCATCCAAGCCTACAGAAACCGAGTCGCGAGGGCGGATATCGAAGCTAACCTTGACAAACTTGCTTTGAGCTTGCGCACCAAATGCACCCGGTGGCTGGATGAGAACAGAGGATGGCAGCAGTTCTGGTACTGTGATCCTGAGGCTACTGAAACTACGGAAGCTGGATCAATAGCCCACTCTCCTGATGACTTCATTGAATCCACAAAAAGACCCATGCAATGGATGAACCACTTCACGCGCTTGGCAGCGTCCAGAGTCCTACAATGTGACGTTTTGATCTGGAAGTGGGTTTCGGGGCATTGGAAGTTCCTTGAAAGGTTGGCCCCTCCAACTTCCAGGAAGGGGGCCCCCATATGCCTGTTCCTCAAGGAGGGTCACTTCGTTACGTTAGACCCGAGCAGTAAGATGCCTGATGCTTGGAGGCAGCTCAAAGTTGCGGAGGAACATGAGGTGGTTTGTTTCCTCGGAGGAGGCGAGACAAGCGATGACGAACTATCCTCTTGGTTGCAACCAGTTGAGGAGGACGCCAGCTCTGAGATCTCCCAGTGGCTCAGGCCTCCTCGGGGCCACGCGGGCCCCCAGACTGCAAGCTCCGGTAGGTCAGGCGGTTCGGGAGCAGGTACTGAGCTTCGCGTGTCGGTCCCTAAGGGCTCTGCTGGCAAGGGTTTCCAGGACAGTGGGGGGTCTCAGGCTTCAGCTCCTAGTGGTCGCCGTGCCGGCCCTTTAGGCTTCGATAGCCCAGGCGGCTTAGGAGCTGGCTCTCAGCCTCAAGTGTGTGCTCCTAAGGCCTCTGCAGGCAAGGGTTCCCAGGACTGCGCGGCGCTCCAAGCCTCAGTTGGTCGTGGACGCCTTCCCTGCCCTCAAGGCTCCGATAGCCCAGGCGGCTTACAGCCTCCAGTGTCTACTCCTAAGGGCTCCGCGGGGGGCAACGGCTCCCAGGACTGTGCGGCGTCGCAGGCCTCAGTTTCTAGCGGACGCTGTGCCGTCCATTTAGGCTTCGATAGCCCAAGCGGCTTAGGCACCGGCTCTCAGCCTCAAGTGCGCGCTCCTAAGGCCTCTGCAAGCAA